CCCACACACACGCCCACACACACACACACACACGCACGCACGCACGCGCACACGCACACGCACACGCACACGCACACGCACACGCACACGCACACGCACACGCACACGCACACGCACACGCACACGCACATATACGGATATAGCCTTCGGAAGCACCCATAGCTTTGTGATTCCTGACTCTGGGCTTTGGCTCGTATATCCATATAGCCGAGAGTCAGAAGACTTGACATTTTGGGCTTGGGACCTAAAGGGGCTCTTCGGTCAATAAGATTCGACGCATTCCGTGGAGAGGCTCCCCAGCACTTGGGGTCGGACCATGAGCATCCCAACCTCGGGATTCAAAATCAGCTTCGACATGTTCGAAAGGTGTTGTCGATCCTCGCCCCAGGCCAACCCCTCCGCACGATGACTCACGGAAAGTTCCGGGTTTCAGATTGACCCTTACATCGCTTCTGACCTATGGCCAAGCAGCTGCTTCGATACAAGAACATGCAGAGTTCGTTCGACGAAAGCTACTACGTACGAAACCTATTACGCCGAAGCGGCCGCGCACAAAATGTCGGACCCAAAACAAGCCGGAAACCCACATCGCACACCCTTTTGAAAGAAGACTTAAGAGGTACATCGTCCGGTAGTTTACGATTAATCGATGATTCAAAAATCGATTGCAGTGCCAGGCCTCGACCTTTCTATCCTCAATCTGCTAGAGCATACATGCCTCTACACGTTCCAAACCTCCTGGAAGTCCATCTCACACCTGCAGAAACTCACTCAGTTGCAAGCCACCAAACGTGCGCCCACTGTGCGTCGGAATCCTGCAGTCAGAAGGTTTCGGCCTCAAGCCCATTTGACAAATCACTGGCGTCCGATCAAAGCCTCGTGATTTGTGGTCACAGGCATCAGCCAAGCTTGAAATAACGCCTGGGGGGGTGGGTCGAAACTTTGCCCCAACAGCCAAATGCACGGGCTTACAGTAGGGTTACTCAAGGTCCAGCAGACCTGGCCACAGGACCAGCAGCAGCAGCAATAATGCCAAGAGTGCACAACAGGCTCCCGCCAAGGCATCCATGGCTCTCTGTTGCCGACGTGTTGCGATCTGCGTTCTCGCATTTACTGTATGGAATTGGTGAGGCTGTGATTGCGGGTTGCAAGGCTTTGGGTATTGCAGGCTTTCAGGAACGTGACCCTGGGCCCCAAAACCTAAAGGGCCTATTGCAGAGGCTTTCGAAGCTGTTTCGGGTGGGGGGATTTTGCTGAGATTTTTGGGTTTGTGCTTCCAGGCTAACTGTTTCAGTTACAGGTTTCAGTGGTGTGATGAGCGTTTAGGGCTTCTGGTGCTTTGCATGTCTTCGAAGCATTGCCGCAGCCAGGGCCTGACCGAGCATCTGAGCAAGGAGGCGGCGCATTTTTGTATATGATCTTCGGTTCGGGAGGGGTGCTTGCAGCTGCCTGCAAACCTAGCACTTGACGAGGTCGGTCAGGCGCACCCGATCAGAGCACATTATGCCAAGACTCCAAATCTCGAAATCGAAAACATTCACCCCACCTCCTCACTGCTCCTGCAGACATCTGCGCATGGCTCACTTCGATAGATGGAGCAGCCCTCCAGCTCAAAGACTCAATCAGAACAATAATGATAATGCAGATGATGCAGCTTCGACATGCTTTACGAGGGCGTTGATAAGCACACACAACTGCTTTGTGCTTCAAGAATTCTCATTCTGGATTGAGGGTCATGTTACTTTTCATTCGGCACCCTATGCATATCAGGAACCCATTGATGGCGTCTCGTTTGTCTTTCAGGCCTTGATGCGCAATCAGCTATCAAGGTCATGTAGCGCGACCTCGGAGACTTCAGGCATCGCCTCGCGCAACTGAAGACAGAGCTTTGGCTTAGGAACAGGGGTGTTACGAGCCATGGTCAGTCCCGACTCAGGGGGAAATTATTGCTCATAGTGCAACAATGCCCCTGCACGTTCCCGCAATCTTTCGAAATTTGGTTCTTAAGTCATAGCCTTGTCATCGGCATTTCCAACAGACTCGTAACACCAGGTCCAAGTCCCACGGCATGTGCGGCCCCCCTGGTTTCAAATCGAGGAGTCCATGGTACGGCCCAGGCATGTGTTTCATAGCTGACTGTACGACAACATGACAACAGATAACATGAAAAGGGTTACTGGCAAGCGGGAACTGTCGTGACAAAATCTGGAGACCCGCGGAACACACTTTCTACCGCAGGATTGGGCACACATGAACCAGGGCTATGCAGGAGTCTTGATCACTGTCACAGGATTCCAGCACAGCCACTCTATCCAGATGAGACGTATCCTTGCTTGCGTTCCTGAATTCGCATCGGACCTCAACAGAACATTCACTAAAGCCGGCAAAAGCCCGTCTGGGTTTGTCTTGCCACTTCCTGTCATGGTCATCATGTCAACTTGCTTCCAGGAATTCTGTGTGGGCCCGTCCAGAATCGGGGTGTCGAGATACGGAGGAGAGACAACACGTTTTCGATAGTTCTTCCCGCCTTAGGAGGCGTGCAAGGTCCAGGAATTGTCCTGAGAAATGTCTCTTCGTCCAAAATAATAGAATATCCTAAGTGCATGGACTGCATGGAGGTCAAGGAGCGGCGCCAACCCGTCAGGCTCCGAAAGGCCTAAACCCTGCATCCTAGTTCAGCCGTTTATGCCGCTGAAGGCCCTGACGCCCACACTCTCTAGAAATCAAAACCTTCACAAACGTAAACCGCGGGGGTTGCATGCGGTCAATATGATTTCCGTAAGCTGCAGTCTGTCAACGTCCTTTTGCCCTTGAGCTATACATCCGAGGCGTTAGTCCGCCAGAGGTGAAGGGCCTCGTTGGTTGGCACAGACAAGGAAGGTTCGAACATGTCAGCATGCTCCTGCACTGACTGCACTCTGCCTTTAGCTTCAATCCTCTCAGCCCTCAACATCTCCAAACACGCATCGAGTAACATATGAAGGGACTCCCCATAGGTGTCCTGAGCCCAGTGAAATACAGTGAATGTATGCCCATAGAGGCTAACTTTATTGGGGGCTTTGCTTGAAGGCTAGCAGAGGCGGCAGAGTGCCCAGTGAGAAAGTCAGCATGCTGTTCGAGAGCCAGGCGCCTTAGGCCCCTGCCCCAGCCAGTGAAAATCTTCTTCGCCCCTGCAAAAAAACCTCGAAGGAGGTCGGAAAAAGGCGGAGCAACCTGAGGCCCCCGTCAGGTCTTGGAAAGACAATGCTCAAAAGCAAATCTACCAACCTGCGCCAGAAGTGCTAGACACCGAACGGCTGGATTCCAACCGCAAGAAGGCGGTGCTCCTCGGAAAATGCCAGCACGTTGAAAACATCTCGCAGAACCATTCGAAAGTATCTGAGATATAGTGTTGGGTGTTCAGTGCCTTCGGAATTTGGGAAGGCTTCGATGGCCCGTACCTGTAGCACGAGCGACTGCGAGCAGCTTTCGGCGCCCCAACTCCCAGCCAGCGAAGGGAGCCGGGTCAAGATAAAAGAGTACAGGCTGCTATCTACGTGTGCTGGCTGACAAAGGCTCTCCTTCAAAGCTCCTCGAGGCCGTGCAAGCCTGTAGCCCGAAAACATTCAACTGTACACCTGAACCGGAGAGTCAGGGCACACCAAGCAACCACTGACAAAAACTCACAGTCGTGCCCTAGCAGCACGCCGAAGCGCATAAGAGTACTTCAAAGACTGCGGGGTGCATGGCTCGTCGAAAAGCAACCCCTGAATCATATGCAGATTCAGTCATTAGCCATTTGAGGACTCGGATTCGGATTCCAGACTTAAGAACTCGCAAAATCCGGAAGTCTGACTCAAACTGAACCTCTCAGCATCAAGACATATCAAGACATGCGAGACAGCTGTCCACAGACAAGCGTCTGTAGCTGATAGGGTAACAATGTTGCAGGGTTGCCAGAGCTTGTGCATGGCTTTTTTTGTGGGGGGCGGGTCGGACTAACGATCTCGGGCTGGGGGTTCCGGGATCGAGTGTGAAAGAGGCAAGTTTCGCAAATAGGACGACAATGCAGCAAGGTCGAGAATCCATCTATGTGGCAAAGAAAGTATGCCATAAATCCCAAGTCCAGAAAAGCCAGAACCATGCACCCCTAACACGCGGTCAGGTGCTTCAGGAGTTCGGCGATTTCAGGATGTCCGTTCTCCACGGCGGCAGCCAGAGGCGTGAATCCCCAACTGGTGACCTTGGCCTGAATGGTTGAGTTGGGGCAGGTTGGGGTTCAAGTTCTTTCGTCTGCGGGTTTGTTGAAGGTGGTGTACAAGGCTGCGCTTTGCAGCGTAACTCTTCAGGGTGCCCGTGCCTCTGCAGTTATCTTCAGTTCCAACTCCTGCTGATTCCCATGCAGTGATAATTGGAAGTTCAGAACTCAGAGTTCAGGGTTTAGGAACGAAATGAATCGTTTTGCAGGATCGCATATGCAAATACGTACTCATAAGCTCTAAGTCTATGTCAACGACCCTGCAGAATCTCCATGGGGCTCTGACTCAGAAGTCAAACAGGTAATTACGACTAACATGGCAATGAACAGTCGGCATGGCCTCGTCTGCCCCTTCCTGGAGCAGCAGACGAACGACCTCCTTGTGACCGTTCCTCCGGTGATGGAAATGAGACTGAGGCTTTGCAGTGGAGATTGAGGATGGGCTTTCTGTTGGTTCGGATTCAGGCTTGGGAAGTATTCGAGGTTATTGCAAAGGCGTGAGTGTTTAGATCGGGCTCTCTGTGGGAGTTGTACTGGTGCAAAGCAAGGGTGCGTCCTGTCAATATGCCGACCGCATCGATACCTGATCCGAACCAGTCAATTTATGTTTCCGGTGTTGGAGAGTGGTTTTGCTTTGTGCTGTTCAACTTTTGAGTCAAGGGGTGGTGAATACCCTAGCAACACCAGCCATGGGTAGGCGATCCCAATTTTAACACACTCCGTCATATCGGCAATGGGCTGACAGGACCCAATCCTTCAGGAAAGTCGGGTGCAGTTCAAATTTCCTGTTGGCGGAACGAACGACTTCGAAATGATGTGTGGTGAGGGCATGGCAGTGACCGGGCAGCCTTATGCATAGCTAAACGAGTGGAACTGCTGGCAACCAAAACTAGAAGACGAGTGGCCCGAAAGCATCATTAGCCATGAGTTTTGGAGCTATGTAATTGGAGCTATGAATTGCAACTTTGCCTCGCATTCGTGCCTCCGACCACACGGATCCCTGTGAAGGGTTGCAAAT